TTTTTTTTTTTGAGTCAGAGTCTCACTTTTGTTGCCCAGGTTGGAGTGCAGTGGCATGATCTTGGCTCACTGCAGCCTCCACCTCCCAGGTTCAAACGATTCTCCTGCCTCAGCCTCCCAAGTAGCTGGGATTACGGGTGCCTGACACCACACCCAGCTAATTTTTGTGTGTGTGTTTTTAGTACAGACAGGGTTTCACCATGTTGGCCAGGCTGATCTCAAACTTCTGACCTCAAGTGATCTGCTTGCCTCGGCCTCCCAAAGTGGTAGGATTACAGGCATGAGCCACCGCTCTGGCCTTGAAGTTAATGCCTTTTATGAGCTAGCTTTGGAAGTATTTCTTCAACATCCTTTTGGTTAAGGTTAGCCCTCTCCAGTGTGAGAGCATACTGCCTAAGGGCTTGAATGCCAGGAAGCAAAGATGATTGGGGTCATGTTGGAGGCTCATAACTGTTCTCTGCCCTGTTTGTAGTAAGTCATGTCCTCCCACATGCACACTACACTCCTCCCGTCCCAAGGCCCCCAGAAGTTACATCCCGTTAGCACATTGGTACAAAATCTTATCCTCCAAAAGCAGCCTGGATTTATACTCCTCAGGTGAGATTTCTCACTCTGTCACCCAGGCTGGAGGGCAGTGGCATGATCACAGTCCACTGTAGCCTTGATCTCCTGGGCTTAGGCAATCCTCCCCACAAGTAGCCGGGACGACAGGTGCATGCCACAGATGCCAGACGAATTTTTGTGGTTTTTTTGTAGAGGCAGAGTCCACTATGTTGTCCAGGACTGGTCTCGAACTCCTGGGCTCAAGAGATCCTCCCACTGCAGCCTACCAAGTGCTGGGATTACAGGCATGAGCCACCACAACCAGCCTAAGATTTCTTGAGTATAGCCCTTTGAATACAGTTTTTTGCCCCAGCAAACTCTAATGGAATAGGCATAGGAGAATTAGTAGATCCTCCCTTTGAAACAGGGAAAATGATGCCTGTAGTCCCAGCTACATAGAATAAGGTAGGAGGATCATTTGAGCTCAGGAGTTCGAGGCTGCACGGAGCTATGATCATACCTGTGAATAGCCACTGCACTCCAGCCTGGGTGACGTAGTGAGACCCTGTCAAAAAAAAACGCTAAAATACACATACCACAAGGCCATTTTTCTCCTTTTGTTCAAAGCCACTTATAAAATCTTTTGCTTTCAGGCTAGGTGCAGTGGCTCACTCCTATAATCCCAGTACTTAGGGAGGCCAAGGCGGGTGGATCATTTGAGATCAGAAGTTTAAGACCAGCCTGGACAACATGGTGAAACGACGTCTGTACTAAAAATACAAAAAAATTAGCTGGACATGGTGGTGCACGTCTCTAATCTCAGCCACCCCGTTACTGGGGGAGACTGAAATAGGAGAATGGCTTGAACCCAAGACCCGAGAGGTAGAGGTTGCTGTGAGCCGAGATCACGCCACTGCACTCCAGCCTGGGCAACAGAGTGAGGCTCCATCTAAAATAAATAAATAAAATAAAATCTCTTGCCCTTTTTTTTTTCTTTCGGTAGGAATTGATTGGCAAGTACGGCCTCCTTTATCAGGACTCCCTCCTCTTGGTAAAATGTCTCTCAGCAAAGACCTGCATTTTAACACTTCCATTGCTAACTTGGTCATTCTTCGTGGGAAAGATGTGCAAAGTGCAGATGTGGGTAAGAAATTCAGGTGAAAATTAAGATGTACATTTTGTACATGTACTTGCTTTATGATACAATTTTATTTTATTTTTTTGAGACAGAGTCTTGCTCTGTCACCAGGCTGGGGTGCAGTGGCGTGATCCTGGCTCACTGCAACTTCCATTTTCCAGTTTCAAGCAATTCCTCTGCCTCAGTCTCCCAAGTAGCTAGGACAACAGGCACGCACCACTACGCCTGGCTAATTTTTTGTACTTTTAGTAGAGATGGGGTTTCACCATGTTGGCCAGGATGGTCTCGATCTTTTGACCTCGTGATCCGCCCGCCTTGGCCTCCCAAAGTGCTGGGATTACAGGCGTGAGCCACCGCG